GCAGAGCCAGCGTCTGGGGACACTGCTGCACGTGTGCACAATCAGAACTGTACAAAAATGTTCGTGGCAGCATTCTTCGACACAGAAAAACAGAATGCAAAGGCCCAAGAATCAAAGAATGGAGAAGGAAATCATGCATTCAGTAGAATTTATGCAGCAGTGAAAATAAATGAATTAGAAAAATACTAACGTGCATAAATCTCACAGGCGTAATATTGAGCAAAAAAGAGTAATTTGCATTATGACACAAGGAGCATAACAGTCACGAAAATATCGAAACCCCACAAAACAGAGGCGTGCGTTATCATGCTTATATACAAATGAAGTGTTAGTATAAAAATCCCACGCACCACTAGAGAATGCCGAAGCCAAAACTGTGGTTACTTCTGGGATAGAAGGGAGGGAAACAGACTTGGGATGGAGATAAAAGGGGTTTCAACACATAAATCTGAAGCAAATACGGCAAACCAGTAATACTTCTTCAAACTGGGTGGATGGGACACAAACATTTGTTACATTGAATTCCTTAAAAATTTATTGAAACATTAAAAATTATAGATAGCTAAAAATTTTACCTCCACCCAAGAACATGATTACAAAATAAATTGGTGAACAGTTTTTAAATGGTATAAACTTGATTTCAACATCATAAACAAACACGGAAGTATGCAAGACTGGTAATTGGACATAATGCGAGAACGGGAGATGGAATAACGGCCCTTTACTTGCTACATTTTCTATAATGCACATCCATTACTCTAATAATGAGAAAGAACACTTTTAACATGAACTTCCAACCCACGTCTTCAAGTAATTCAGAAAGGCTTCATGTCACGGCAAGCAAGACTCAGTAACAGGAGGCTCTAAGTTTCTCGGGCTCCAGACGATAGCTGGATCGCACCAGGATTTTTGACCATCACTATTTGTACAGGGCGTCTGCGAGGATAATGACCGCTGCCTCCTGTCTCAGGCTTGGTCCCCGGAAAGACGACCCTGGAGATGAGCCTAGAAGCTACAGCTTTACTGGTGGGATCTCAGCTGGGGGAAGGAAGGCGTGGAAGGGGGAATGCACGAAAGCCAAGGAATAGTGCATTAGAGAAAGCACATGTGGTCGTTCAGACGTGTGGGAGGTCTGTGGACAGATGTATGGACCACCATAGGGGGGACAGGCAATCTGGGGTTGGATGGCAGAGGAATTTACCTGCTGTCTTTCACTGATCGAAGTCTGCCCACAGGACACGAACTGCATCTTCCAGGTCCAGGTTTCAGATTCTGGTTCTGCCATGGGGAGAAGCCACATCAATAATGCCCAGAGCCTCACCTGGGTGCAAAGACTGAAGGAGTAGAAACTTCGACAGGTCTGGCGCCCCAGGATCTGGAGGCCCAAGGGCATGTGGCTGCCCGCATGGTGGTTTGGGAGAGCATGCGGTTCCGGTCCCCCAGGGCCAGAGGAGTGGGCAAGGTGGCCGGCGGTGTGGGGATGGAGCACCAGGTGCCGCAGCTGGGCTGTCCAGGAAGGAAGTGCCGGCCCGGGGGGCAGGGGATGCCAAGCACATCTGGGGAGATGCGTTCCTGGACCCACCACCCAACAGTGCATCTGCTGGGCCACTCTTCCGCCCTCTCCAGTGACAGCCAGCCCTCACATGCATGGAACAAGTGCAGGTCCGATGTCCCTGTAAACCCTGTTCTGAATAAGCAGAAGCATCTGTTGAGCCCCGTCTCACAGACTCTACCCAACCTGTTTCCAGCCTTCTGACTTTTTCCTCATGCAATGAAGAGGGTGTTCTGGAATTTCCCCTGTGCTCAGTGTAGGAAAACCTCTGGGAACCCTTCCTGGGAATCATCAGACTGTCTTCAAGTTGTCCTTCACAAGAATATTAAATCCCAAGTCCCAGGCGAATGCCCCACACCCAGGCTCATACCCAGCCCTGGTCTAATGTCCTCACCTTCTCCCACACCAGCTCCCAGGCTCCTGCTGGCACACTGGCCACATCCTGAAATTTCTGCCATGTGTGGACTGTCCTTCCGGGATCAGGGTTGGTAATTCCCAGCGTGGGCCGTCCTAAGACCCATCTGGTTACCGCGGAGGCAATGACGGGCAGGGAAATTGCAAGACATCTTGAGAATGCTGGCATTTTGCATTCCAGAGTTTTGCACTCCGTCCTCTGGCAAGGGGAAGGTTGGCCAACTGGGAGGGCTCAGGGCAATGGAGGGTTCGAGGTTCTGGGCTTATGTACTCCATGACCCCCTTGCGCATCTCAGAGGCTCATTCTGTCACTATCAGGAAAAGTCGTCATCGGACATCACAGAAGGAAGCCCATCGAGGCCGTACACCTCCTGTCCTCGGCATCTCTGCCATCCTCCTCATCAGATCCTGGGCCTGAGTTTTCGGCGGGTCTTCCCTGTGGCTGCGTTAAGATGGCAGTACCTCTGAAAGCTTCCTTCCATGCACCCACGCTGGTCATTTGCTTCCTAAGCCTGCCTATCATTTCCCTTAAGTGCAGCCCCTCTGTAGAGTGTCTACTGATATCCTCACCCCTGTTCCCCTGCCCGAGGTGGAAGCCTTGCCCACCTGCCCTTTGTCCTCATCAGCACAGGCAGGAGCTCTAGGGAGGCTGAGCACACCATGGGGCTTGGTCACCCCGTTGGGTAGCAATCGTATTCCCAAATCCCATGTGGTGCATCTGTTTTCTAGAAAGCTTCTGGCACAAACTGGCTAATTCAGGGTTCCAAAGGTAACACAGTTTGAGGCAAAGCTTATAGGCTAGTATTTGACTGTGGGATACAATTACAAGGCAACAGGTACGAGGGCAAGTGGAAAAGAAAGCAGGGAAGGAAGGACAGCAAAAACAAGGTGGTGTGCTACAGGGTCGGCCCCTGCTTACGAAAACAAAGGGGGTCTCTCGGGGCAGGCCACCTGGAACTCCCACTGTCCTGTGAGCGCTCTCCCTACTCCTACCCTGACCCAAGCTGGAGCTCTAGGACCCTCACGCCCCTGCCCGTGGGCTGCCACTACCCTTCTGGTCAACGATCATTCCAGGAAGCAGATCCTGCTCCCACATGGCGTGTGTGTCCCAAGGATCCAGAGATGGAGAAGCGGGGTCTGGCTCTCCAGGGTGTGACTGGATTGGGCCTGGGTACCTGAGGCTCCCCCTGCCATGGGCACGATGGACACAATGTTGTGGTCGCCCAGATATTCTGGCTACGGACTATCTGGTCACGGGCACGGGAGCTGATGTGCCACGAATCAAGAATTCAAGTTCACCCACTCTGGGCTAGACTCTTGGTTTCGTGCCACGCAGTATCTTTAATCCTATCACGGGGGCATGCATGTATCACCACCTACCTTTGACAGGAAAGAAAACAGGTTGTGTATCACATCCGGGACATGTAGTAGAACAAGTGTTTCGACCCAGGAGTGTCTGGAAAGCACGATACTCCTCCAAGTGGGCACCTTCCGTCTCCGCCTGGTCTCTCTCTCTCCACAATGCACACCGAATTGTCACACATCTGCCATCCCCCAAATCTTGAAGCACAAGATGGCAGCGACTATTGGAACACAAACCGTGAGGAGGCTGGATGGGGCAGGCATGGTGGGCGTACAAATTCAGCACCGATGGGACCGAGAATAGTGCGAGAAGAGCTTTCTTCTTCGTGAGTCCGCCAGACAGGGACTCAGCACGGCACAGGAGCTCCTCCCATCTGGGCTGACGTCACAAAGCCTCCTGACAAAGTGACTCCCTGGAAAACCATGGTGGCCTAGCGATTGCTCAGATGTGGCGTTTTCGCCTCACGGACGAATCGTCCTGTCTTCCTATGGGAGCCACCCAAGGTCATGTCTGGGTAAACAGCATTTTTTTACATAGCCTTTGAACCTCCAGGAACCTCCAGGAAGCGTGGCGCTGTCCCGCGGCCTTGAAGGAGAAGAGGAGTGGCATCCAGTGCTGGAACAAAGGGCAAGGAGCTTCTGTGAACTGAAGTCGAGAAGAGCCTCGACAGACAGCAGAAGCATTAAAACTCGGCTCTTGGTGGCAAGATGGAGAGAAATGGAAGGTTTTTTGTTTTTTTATCTTTTTGGGTTTTTTTTTGCTTTAACTCATCTAATTCAGAAGTCAGGGAAAGTGTTCAGCTCCCACTTTACCTTATTATACACTCAGTCTATGTTTCTTTGTCACCAAGGATCTTCAAGCACAAAGAGAAATACCACAATCCTACTTGCTCAGTCCTACAACCTATGAGTTCTTTGTTTTTAGTGTATTTTGAGAAAATGAACAGTATGCGTCCCGCTTCTGTCTGCCATTGTAGGCTTTGATTTTGCCAGTGAGGAGCTGCTGACGGAAAAAGCTTTCATAATTTGAAACAGAACACGACAGAAGCCTGCTTGAGTGCAGGGGTGAGAGCAATATGCTGAGCAAGAAGAGGGATGACCAGGTGGGCGGGGCCGGAAGAAAGGCACGTTCCTCTACCACCTGCCCCCAGTGCTCATCCCCTTGGCCTTGGCTCGGCTCCTCAGTAACGCCGAGCGTGGAGAGACGGGGGCGGGGGAAGGCGCGCATCCCACTGGGGACAGAGAACGCATGGCAGGGCCGGGGGTGAAGGCACCCCTTGCTCTTCTGAGATGCCCGACACCCACTGGGATCATTCAAAGGACAAGCGTCCACGGAAAAGTGGTCGAGCGCCACGCATAGAGCTGTCATCCTCCTGACGCAGCCGGCGGCCACGGAAGAGCCCAGCCACGATGCTGTATGTCTGTAGCGTGGCATGTCTGTAGATGCTGGTATGTCTTAACAAAAAGAATTAACACAAGTGCCTCGAATAAAAAGTTCCAAAGCCACCAGGTAACTGTGAGAAATCGCATGGGACTTTCAGAGCCACGGTCCTTAAAACCCTACAAGCGCACGCTTGAGTGCATAGTAGGGAGAGACCGACAACACACAACACAACCCAGCAGTAACATTTAGTGCCCTTACACAGACAGACACACACAGCACCACAGAACTTATTTTTACTTTATTAACAATGTGGCTTACAATTTTTTCAAGTAAAAAGGGTTTCTTTTCATTTAGAATAAAAATTAAAATATAACTCTGATTTAGATTTTCATTTATTTACATGAGAACATATATACAGAATACAATCTTCCAGCAAACCAACAACATGCCCTTTGTCCTGCAAATTCCAAAAGTAAAAACACGAATTTTTCCTTTTACACACTGAAACATACACAATATATGAATCAGATTTCAATACGAACTACTCAAACTGGAATGCAAAACAGTAACGGGGCTTCTGACATTCACGACTTGGGATAGTTTATGCCTCTGTATATCATGCTAGCTCCCACTGTGAACAACAAATGAGATCGTTTCTTTCTTCTATCATTTAAAAGCACAATTATCTCCAATTTCCCATGGTCAGCTGATTTTCAGCCCACGCTGCTCCCAGACGTTACCTTTTATTTGGGGGTATCCATCAGGCCCACGCGGACCCCGCTCTGGCTTGGTTGCCTAAGAAGACCAACGTGCTCTCTGGTACGGAATCCCCAGCATTTAAAGCCAACAAGGAAGATGGAAAGTCCAGCGCCAAGGAAACTGCTGGGGTTAGCTCTTATCACCTGAGCTAGAGCTGCTTTAAACCAAAACCCGAAGCAGCAGTTACAATTTTTAGGTAAATTCACGTGGTCAAAACTACCACAATTCTTCCATCACATTCATATTTTGGGGTACTTATAAACCAACTCTAGTGATAAAAGCCAGGGGAACCAACTGAAATATTCAACTGAGTTAAAGGGATGAAAGCAATGTCCAGAAAGCTCTTGAACAGAAAAGAACAGGAAACGGTAGGAGAATCATTCCATCATTACATTGTCAGAGCTGCGGGTAGCGTTCCTCCTTGCTGTTGGCCATTGCACCAACACACACGGGCGGCGCGCACATCTCTTCAGCGACTGCTTCCTTACACGCTACAGACACCTTAATTTACTATCTTTCCCTTCAAAAATAATTGCACACGCGATCACAGCTTTCTAAGACAGAACAGAGTACTTGGATCCTAGATTCACCAACTTAACCAAAAGCAACCAGGGCACTCAAACCACAAAGATGATTTCAATGCTACTGTTTTTACAGTTCTATATACAGAAGTGAACATAAATGGGTGTTCTACGAAAGAAGTTATGAAAGTCCTAGTGCTTGCAAGACGAAGGGAGAACGGCTCTGAGAGAGGTGTTTGGTCTGAGATAAAAGGCAAATCTCAGAACTTGCCTGATATGACACTCGGTATTCTGAGACGTCAGGACACTGAGACCAAGCTTCAAAGACTGACCCAAACCGACCTTCCGAGATTACAGCAAGGGTCGGGGTGGGGGGAGGGTCACAGGTCTGAGTCACTCTAGTGTACTGAGGAGCCAGTCGAAGCAAACACAGGAAATACCCTTCCAATACAGATGGAGCAGGTTACACGACCTAACCGGGGTGAGCCCAGACACGGGGAGTGAGCCCCGCTTCCATCAAGGAGCCTAACTTTAAAAGCGATGGGATAATTCTCTGGTCAATGCAACTTGAAGGGAACAGGTTTCCATTTCCCTTTTTTGGTTTTTTTTCTTTTCTTTTCTTATTTTTGGAAAAGCAAAGAAGTTCGTTCGCAATGCCAGCCTTACCCTACTCTCTTAGGTTTTGTTTTTTTGGGTTTTTGGGGGTGTATGTGGGCAGGATATTTTCCCAACACAGCACAGACGCAGTCAGGAAGGTGGGGGCTGAACCAGCTCCCGTAGTTTCTGGATGGGATTGCTCGAGGGCTCTCACCAAGGCTGCATTTCTGCTTCTCGAGTTATCCACGCTGCACAGAACTCGAAGCGTCTGCTGGGCCAGGAGAGGAGGATGTGCTTCCCGGCCCGCTCCAGGAGGTAATGGGCAGCTCGGTGTATGCGGGACCCAGCCACACAGAGGACAGGACTTTGGTCCCAAAGTATTCTCACAGACACAGAGCAGAGGCTGGAGCGTCTGGAGACAGAGAAGTGGGGGGAGAGGCACCCCTTGCTGGTGTTTCAACTGAGAGGGGTTTGCCTTGGGGCTATGGTGGTGCTGGGGTGGGAGAGGAAATCGTTTCCTGCCTTAAGAGACACAACAGCAAGACGGCAAAATGTACCTTGGAAACTGGCCCTATTGATAGGCCAGAAGCTGGTGTCAGGTGAATCCTACAGAAGAACAAACACCTCATTACCATTCGGTGGCCCACTTGCTATGAGGTGAAGTGCACCCAGCAGTGGAAACCCCCCAGAGAATCCAAGTTCAGGAGGATGTCGGGAACACTCACACCAGAAGCATCTTCTTGGCCCTGAAAGGTTTCCTGGCCAGGAGGGGGGGCCAGGAGGGGACACATATGTGACCTCCATGATGGTCACCCTGAAGCCAGGTCTTCCACCTCTGGCCCCGGCCTCGTCTTCCTGACCATGCACCACCAAGTGGACGAGGGGGAAGTGACAGGTTGCCGCTCAGAGAGACACTGAGGACAAGGAGGTGTGGGGCACACAGCCCCTTGGGGAGCAGGACGTGTCCCCAGTAACGGTGGCTACATCTTGCCCAGGCTGCCGGGGGAGGCTTACCAGCTCTCCGGGGGGTGGGGGTTCCAGAGATGCCTGCAAGACCTCCCACCTCCCACGCAGCACCTCTCCCCCATGCCGTTCCCTGAAAGGACACAAGGAGGGGACACTCCTTCTGGAAACACGTTACCTTGCAGCCCCCTCATCCCCTCACTCCCGTTTCAGATGCCACAGGAATAGGCTCAGCTCGAAAAGGTCACAGTGAAGGCTCGTGAGTGAGTCAGCGCAGGGAAAATGCCGACGATCTGGAAATGGATCCCCTTTCCCATGGACTCCATAGGGCGGGGCGTGGAAGGCCGGAAGTATGTGGCTGAGAAGCAGGAGTGGGAACCCAGGAGGAGGCAGCGGGAGACAGAAATGACTGTAAGCTAACTGGCGAGTCCCCGTGGATGCTTCTGTCCTCACCACGCTGCCAACTCCAGAGGGCAGGATGCCGGTCCTTCCAGCACAGGTCCCCAGGCAGACCCACTTGCCAGACGTTTAAAACTTGGTGGTGGCAATCAGCTAGGGTGGAGAGGAGAAAGTCCCCTGCAAGGCAGGCAGGTCGCTGACCCAGGATGCTGCCCGGGCTCCCGTCAGGAACACGGGCCTCCTCCCGGACGGCCCAGGGCTGGGATCCGAGCCAGTCTCACTGAGACACTCACTGCAGGATCCTTCTAAGGGGACACAGCTGGTTTATTAAGAATTTCCTGAAGCCTCTTCCCACTCCTCTCTGAAATTAAGCTTTTCCTTCGATACACAGCTCAGCATTTCCCAGCAAACTGAAGGACCCACTCCCTGATCTGGTCACAATGAAATGAGAAAGTCAGAAATAAGTGAGGTTCTAGAAAAGACTGCAGATGGAACTCTCCACAGGCTCTAGACATCCGTCACTTGGCAAGAACGGTCTCATTCCAACCACATACCGCCTCCTTCAAGCCTCCTATTTCCCGAGAGGCAGCTGGGACAGGTGACGCGGGTTTAGCCCATCCTTTTATAACCATGTCCCGAAACCAGTGTGTCTGAGAATGAAGCTGCCCCCGAGATCAAACCGGCATCCGCGCGGCCACGGCCATGCATGCATCGTCACCAGCGAGCAGAGCAAAGCCACCGGCTGGTGTCCTCTCTGGGCACGTGCAGGAAAGACATCACCTGTACCTTCGTTTTCAAAGCCAAGTGGGCCGTGGCTGAGGAGGGCCCTTCACAGGAGCCGCCTGGCTTGCAGAGGGAGAAAGCCGAGACGTGGCCGTGCGGAGCAGCTCTTCCTCTTCCCGCAGTGCCCAACACTCCAGGGGCGCCCGCCGCGGTGGCAGGTGTGCTTGAAAACGTGGTGCCGGCAGAGGCTGGAGGGGCAGGAGGTCCTCCAAGCTGCCTTTTGGCGCTACTTAGTGCGTGTACCAGCTACGTCGCCCAAAAAACAAAGCACTGGTCCCCGAACTTTCCCAAGATGCTGCACCACTGCAGCGCCGGTCCCCTCCCGAGAGGGCGGTGTCAGTTGGCGTACTGGGCGTAGAAGGCCACTTTAACCCGCTCGATCTGATGGCACAGCTTGATGGCGGGCCCCAGCTTCAGCTCCATGCACTCCTGCACCGTGGGCAGCGTCAGCAAGAGCAGCGCCTGCCCGTCGATGTCCTGCCGGGAAACAGAGCCACGTGAGAACCCACACTCCGGACACCAGGGGAAGGCAGCTGTCACGGCAGGTTCATCCCGGGGCCCAGGGGCGTGCGGGGCTAGCAGACAGACCGGCCTGGCCTGAGGACTCCCTCCTCTTTCTGGTTAATAAAACCTGTGTGCTCGGAAAATCCCAGCTACCCCGAAACTCACACACCCAGGCCGGTGGGGACGAAGGGGCAGAGCAGGGCCACTGTCGCAGGGCCTCCTCTTCCCCAGGCCGCCGGCCCCTTGCCGGAGAGCCCCCTCGCCCCCACGCCTGCCCGCTCCGTCTCGCGTCCTGCTGCAACTCCGCGCGAGCACCAGGGGAGAGCTCTGCTAAAAGCAGCAGCTCCGGGTTCCTTGCCAAGGTCTGACATTTCACCATCGCAACGGCTGAGGAGATGCGAAAGAGACAGACGTAGCACTACCCAGGGCAGTGTGCCACTGAGGACAACACACGAAGGCATGCATCTCCCCATGCACACGTGCACCACCCAGAATGAGGTGTGCGTCCCCGTCTTGTCCTCGTTAGCCCTCTGCAGCCGCGCACCGGGCCCAGGCAAGGACGGAGCCGTTAGACACTGGCCAGCCGCATTTCCTGTGGGAGGCAGGGACAGAGGCCCACCCCAAAGCTTTAAGATCACCCCAGTAGACACCTCTGCCTCTTCACCAGCTTGATTCCTCTAACAAATGGGGCTCATTTATTTAGATACCGTTTGATTGGGTGACTGAGTTTAAGTGCAATCCCTTCCTCCTATCCACGAGGCCATCTTCACGTGGCAGAGGCAGTAAGAGAAGGTAACAGCGGCAGAAGGAGAGCACAAACCACACCCCGCAAACGAGAATTTCTGCCCCGTGGCAGAGTGGTGAGCACAGGGCTGCTGTCAGCCACGGAGGCGCCTGGTCCTACAACCGCACACGAGCACCTCCGACCTCACTCATGATGACTTACACATAGGAAGCTTATTTTCTTCAAATAATGGTTTATTTAACAGTCTTAAAAATACTCAAACCAAACCAAACAAAACACAACCCAAAATGGGAATAAATGTTAGCCTTTGGGAGGACTAATGGTAGGAATATAATGTCGTGTACCCTCAGTTTCAAAAGGCACCTGACGTGCTCATAATCCCTAGGACGAAGAGCAGCAGTAAAAATGCAGCATTAACCTTTAAGTACCAAAGCAAGTGCAACTTACAATTGTCTGAATTACGGGAGCGCGGCCGTGGCCAGTCCAGGGCACATCTCACCCAGGACTCAAACTGGACCTCCTCAAACCCAGTGTAAACCGACTGGTCTTAAACAGATGCCCAAAGTGGGATGGAAACTAACAAAACTATCAATGAATTTTTGATGCTCTCCCTGTTTTTACTTTTCCGGTCATGCTTTTACATGTCACTCCAATGGCTCTTCATGTGCCACCCCTCAGGCCGGTTGTAGGAAAGAGCAGGCTGGGAGTGCTGAGAGACAGTGCTCTGCTCAAGGTTGTGGGCCAAACAATGGTACCCCCGACCTGGGACCTGGGAGCCAACTGCAACTTCAGAGGCAAATCCATCTACATCATGCCACACCGTGACAGAGGGGGCACAGGCCTAGGGACACAGAGTCCTGTGAGCACCACGGGCCACAGAAAAACACAGTGTGAGCAGGAAACAGGATGACGTCATGAAACCACACGCAGGTGGCTTTGCCATCATGTTCAACGAAGAACAGAACAGAGGCTTACTTTCAGATGTAAGATGCTTTTTTTTTTTTTAGATGGAAATTAATGTCAGAAAAGCTAGTTGATCTACCTAAGATCATTTAGTAAGAGACCACATCGGAACTAGAACCACAGTTTGTTTGTTTTTTTTTAAGATTCACTTATTTGAGAGAGACTGCGAGTGGGGGTGGGGGCAGAGAGAAAGGGAGACAGAGACCCCCCCACAGAGCAAGGAGCCTGACGTGGGGCTCAATCCCCAGATCCTGAGATCATGACCTGAGTTGAAACCAAGAGTCGAACCAACTGAACCTCCCAGGCACCCCTAGAATCGTGGTTCTCTGATATTTAATTCTGGAGGGAAAACCGCAGCTCCAAACCGCCATACAGTTAGACGTGACAGCCATCCTTGGACATACAGATTCAATTACACTTGAGAGCCGCCCCTAGAATGCTTCCACAACTCTCTACAGACCATGTCAGTGCAGGTGGCCGCCATACGCACGCACCACACCTAAATGGAGGAGGTCATTCATTTCTTTACTCAACAAGCAAGCGTCTGAGGGCCTGCTGAGAGACAGGCACGCTGATGGGCTCCGTGGCTACTGCACCGACGGAAAGAGATTCCCTGCCAGGAGAGCAGGAGCCTCGAGGGAGGCCATTCTGAGGAACAGACCACCATAGTACAGAGAGAATCAAGTGTGGACACAGTGCTCCCGCTCAAAGGGACGGGAACACAGCCAGTCCTGCTGGAGTCAAGGAGTGCTTCAGAGATCAGGAGATTCCTGTGCTCAGACCTAAGGGACCACAAGGAATCATGAAGGGAAAGATGGGCCCGTGGAAGACAAGCAGTCGATGACAGCACATATTCGAGGAGAGCACAGAGACACTGAAGGGAAAGCTGAGGTGGGCCCGGACAGCAGCTGGGACACGAGCTTCTGGGGTACGTGACCAGGAAGTCACTAACAGTCATTAGGCAGAGAAGCCCCGTCACAGGACGTGAACATCCACAAGCTGCTATTGGCCACAGTGTACCGGAATGAGTTAGGAGGCGGGAGGGGAAGCCACGAGAAACTGAAGGGGAGGACATTTATTAGGGGTCACAAAGCTGAGCCTGTTAAGAGATAAGATTGCTCAGAAGTGGGGTGTTCCCCCACGGGATCCAGTACCGGGCCACGGAGCGGCTGGACCAACCACGAACCATACACTCTGTGTAGATTGGACACGGGATGGCAGACGGACACAGGAATACAAAAGGCACGACACAGATCAACAACGAAAGGACAAACTGTAAAGAAGAGTCTTCCTTGGACAGTGGCTTTCACAGGCGCTCATCTTCTCAGCGCGCCCCATCTGTACATGCCTCACGGGCACTCTTCGGGACGCACAAACCATTTCTTAATAAAAATATATTAATGCATCTACATCTCCGATGCAAACCGGTATCTGTCATTCTTTCTGAAATGTTTTTAGGTTTCTCCATTTTTCTAATGCCTCACAGCCCAGGAAGGAGGAGAAGGGGATTCCCTTGGTAAATCAAATCTTAGTTTCTGAGCAGGTGCCAAGTCTTTAAAGTTGTTTCTCATTTATTTGCAAAATAGGTATTGAATTATTTGTATGTTGGACCCCAACGTAGCTACTGGAAATACAAGATGAGTGAGACTTGGCTCCCGCGTTCTCTAGCTGGGGAAGAGACACATGTATACGGCAGCCCAAATCCACACCTTAGCAGACAGAGCTTGAAGCTGAGCCCCAGGACACACCAGGCTGGGGGAGCAGTCAGAGACGGCCTCATGTTTAACTCACTTTTGAGAAGGCCTGGCAATAAGGGCAAGAGAGTTTTTCTAGTCTGTTTCCACCGCTCTAATCTCGGCATCTAGGAAAATACCTGCTGGATGCAGAAGAGGGGCTCGTGAAATGTTTGTTGAGCGACTGAAGGGGAAGACCTGGTCTGGGTGAATTTAAAAGTCAATAGACAGGTAAAGACAAAGTTTGAGAATGTGACATGTGGACAGAACTCAGAAAGACGGGGGACTCTGGGGCCGTGAGTCCCCCAGGACGCAGTAACAGATACGGTGGGCCGGGGGCCTGGGGAACGACAGGCACTTGGGTCTCACGGCTCTGGAGGCTGGGAAGTCCAAGACCGAGCTGCCGGCAGCCTAAGGTGACCAGTGAGGCCCTGCTCCCCGGCTCCAGAGTCCTCACATGGGGGAGGGGCCAGGGAGCTCTCCGCAGTCTCTCTTACAAGGGCACCGATCCACTCACGGGGGCTCCACCCTCCTGACCCCATGTCCCCAACACCGTGGGGGATAGGTGCTTCGGTCTACACCGCAGATGCATCCAGTAGGGCCATTGGGCTCCCATCCAGGGAGATGGGGGCTGGGGTGCACACTCCGAGGTTTCTGGAAGTGCCTCGGCCAGCTGTCCCTGGCTCCTGAAGATCCCCCCACTCCTCCACGCAGACCTCACACGGGAAGAAGGACGGGCCTGCAAGGCTGACTCTATGCCGCTCCGCTATCCTCAAATTCACACTCCCGTCTAGTGGTGAGGGGGAAGATGGCCCCTCGCTGGGTCTGTTCCTAAACCTCGCAGGGCTTCTGCCAACGGAGCGCGGAAGCCGTGGGACAGGCCCTGGGAGTGAATGCAGGCTTTACAGAGCCGGAAGCGCCCCAGACTCTTTCCAGGGCAGCTCAAGTGTTCCTCCTGGGGGTGCCACAGAGCCTCACAGCTGCCACCAGGACACACCAGTTCCCTGATGCAGACCATCTGACCCACTTCAACAAACCACTCCTTGACCACCACCCACACGCCCGGGGGATGAACGCACTTGAGCCTGAGGCCCTGTAATGAACGGCCAGAGTGACTGCTGCTTGTCCCAGTCTGTTTATAAGCCTGCTGCCCCTAGGCGCCTGGAAGCATCTAAAACTGGGGCATGATAGGGCCATTTCCAGCCCTGGCAGGCAGCCCCCCAGGCCCTGAGCAGTGGAGGAAAAGCTGCACAGAGAGCTCAGGGCAGATGGAACCAGACAAGAATGATGGTCAGGATCTCTTAACGGCCTCTAGACCTTTATGCGATCACAGCCCCTTCTCACTCCCCTGACACACATCCGCTCCCTCGTTTCGCAAATGGGCAAAGCCAATGGGAGAGTGTTTCCCAGGCCCGCCCTCCCTCTGCGGGAGCAGCGCCTGAAGGAAAAGACATCTGGGTGTTTAGGCCATGGCTGAGGGGTGGAGAGTCCATGCTCTGTGGCGCGAACTTCAAGGGTGGGCAGGCTGGAAGGGATGGACATGTCCACGTCCTTGAACCGGTCCTACTAAGGGCTGGTGCATGTTCATGTGGGGACCGCATGGAGAACCCTGGGGTGAGCTAGGGAGAAACACCCGGCTGGATCTGCACAGACTGCCGCGTGCAGGGAGACGGAGACCACAGGCGGGCTGAGGCATGGCCATCTCCCTGATCACAGACACCAAGCACCCTGTTTGGGACCTGGGAAGAACCAATCAACCACGGGGCCTGAGGGTTCTGTGCGGTCTGCCTGCAACTAAGCTGTGGGGGCCTCTGGCCCCCTCATTTCCCATCCTCCCCAATGACGTGAAACAACTTTGCACTGTTCTCGTTTTGAGAAGAATGTGCAATCACGAATAAACCTGCGCCCCTGATTTCTCAACACCAAAGTGTCCCCTGCCGGGGGCTGGGCCGAGCAACCTGAGCATCAGGCTGTCCCAGAGGTAAGGGCAGGGGCGGCAGCTGGGTGGGGTCAATGTCACAGGTGACCGACACGTCTGTCCTGACTCTCCTTCCCATGTGGGCTGCGTGCGGCCACCACCCACTGCACGGCCCTACAGCTCGGGAGAGAGCAGGTGCACAGAAGTAACAACGGCACCGTACGGCAACGAGCGAGGGCCACCCCCTGTTTAAGAGTCTCGCGTTTTTCTTAGTTAGAGATGTGTGGAGTTTTACTGTATAATGTACACATTTGCAGCAGCATGAAATGACGGAGTAGAGACATTTTAAGCTGTTGCCATAACATTTCAGAATTAAAGGCATGCCCTCCCATAAAGTGGGGACAGCCCTGAGTTGACACCTTCATGAGGAATGAGTGCACTTTGCTGTCGCCGGACCATGCCCTGGGGTTTCTCCCACGCTGGGGAACAAAGCCACTGTCTGCCTGAGGTCATCGGAAACCTCACGCCGTGGCTGGACGGACCCACTGGAGGCCTCCCGAAGCAGGACCACAGGGCACTTGGGCTCAAAGACGACTGAATAAATTTGCAAAAATTAGTAATGACGGGCCCAACTGAACAGTAAAGGGCTCAGGTCCCATGCGCTGTGGACAGCACGGTGGGCAGTAGGTTTTTACCACAGCCGAGGGAAGGCCTACCGTGAGGCTGGAAATGAACCGGAACACAGCTGTGATCGATGAGTCTACGTATTCTCCCGTCTCTAAGAGAAGTAAGGAGGTCCATAGTAGGACCGAGTTTTTAACTGGTGTGAGAGGAGAAGGTGAGAGACAGGGCTCTGCCCGCCGCCTGATTCTGGGAGTGGGAAGGTGGCGGGCATGCGTCACGTCTCGGACACCTTGGCTTGGGAAGGCTCGGAACTTTCTGGCACACCCTAAGAAGCTGGGCTTAGAAGTGCAAGTGAGGACAACTCGGCACTCGTAGCATTTTAGCCTTTCTCCCAAGTCAGCCTTGTCTCCACGTTCTCGCCTCGTATCACCAGCGGGTGAAAGTGGCGGCATGCAAGCCCGTTCCCCTCTCGCCGTCCCACTAACCCGCAGCTGGGGCGGGAGAGTGCTGTGCCGTCGGCCACAGCCCGGCTGAAAACCATTTCCAGCCAAAGTGTGCACTGGAGTCCAAACGTGAAATAAGGCAAAAACACAGCTTGAGACTAATCTGGAACACGACCCTCCACATCGTAAGGCCCAGAGCAGACACTCCGTCCCTGTGCATGGAACAAACACACGAGCAAACAGCCCCACATGCTAAGCTCTGGGTCACCGGCACTCAGTGTCTTCGCTGGGCCACCACTCACTCACAAATGGCCACCTGGGAAAATGCCACGTCAGCCAAAGCTTTTAGCAGGAGTTTAATCTACCACTTTATTTTTGTTTCCGAGATAGGAGATGGCTCAAAACACACAAGCCTTCACGGTTCTTAGCGATTCTCTCCCTGTCTGAGTGTTTTAAATGAAGGGACGGGCTCATTACTAGGTTATGTCTGATATAGCTTTTTCCTACATGCGTTTCTGTGTCACTCAGAGGAAGTGCTGGTCACGGCAAAGCCCCACGGCTGCCACTCACGCCTTCCCGTGCATGCAGTCCGTGTCTGCGGGCGGCTCTGGGGCTGACCACATGGGACCTCTGAATGCTAAGAGCCACCCTCCCCTGGGAACTGCATCAATTTGCTTTCCATACAGTGGCCTGGAAGGAGATCTGGGGGACTCGCTGGGTGCAGAGGCATCAGAGGCTTCTTTTTCCTTCTTGACTGAATGCCTGAGTTCCCCTCTTCCCAGAATACCGGTTTGTATAATCTAAAAAAAGGCCGCACAGACACACCTCTAATGGATTACGTGAACGGCACCGTCCTTACATCTGAACGCCTGAGAGACACACGTACTCCGTGAGACGCTGTGAGAAGTAACAACCTTCACGCGAACATGGGAGAGTGGGTCACGGGCTTCCACTGGAGCTTCCGTGGGAGGCTTGGGTCAAGACGGGCCATTTGTTTCCATATTAATTTAAGGGGCAACATAAAAAAAATACCTTTTTTATGGCTCAAAGCACGTCTTACACTTTATAATTCTCCTTGTCTCATCAGCAGAATCAAAATTCCTCTAAAGTATAGATTATCTTGATCGTTTTGCGTGGACCCATCGCTAGCAGGAACCTAACGTCCCACAGGTTTTTAACGTTGTTACAAAGGAAAGAGCGAAAGAATGAGGCAAAAGCAGTGAAGAGAGTGGCATCGAGAGAAACAGGGCAGATGGAGGGCTTCTGCCTCTGGAAGATGAGGACACGTCCCTTCCCTGTTTCTCCTGCTGAACAGAATGAGAAGCTCTGGATGGTATGAATCCAACAACGTAAAGTGGGGAGCAGAGACGGCAGACCAGCAGGGACCTGGGGGTGCCAGAGGGCACAGTACTGAGCACCCGGGTGTCTGCGTCCCTCTACATCCAAGACTCACTGCTACAGAGCATGGCCCCCAGTGCTGCCCCGGGCCTGGGTGAAAAGGAGCCCAAGGGATGCTCTTTCTAGCTGAAGGACTGAGAAAAGGGTGGCCCAGGGAGACAGAAACCTTTCAAAGATGGCTTTCCTGCAGGACGGAGAACCGCCCTGACCCTGACGGCGACGAAGGCCAGATGGCCCCAGGCTCCTAGCCCCTGACAGGGGAGCCCAAGCCAGGACTCGCGTCTCTGCTGAGCAGCAAAGAGCCCCCCACGGAAGTGTCAGCGGGGATGATGTGTGAGCCAGGCTTCCGTCCCCCAGCCCCTGCAGTCACGAGGAAGCACCTGTGCCCTGCCAGAGCCGGGTCCCCAAAAACAGCCAGAATGGAAGAACAAAGAACATAAAACAAACGCCGTGGCAGGACAAGCACACCTGTTCCTGAAAGATCTTGGCCAGTGGGGCGCAGTCCGTCAGCTTGATGAACCTGACCACGTCGGTCACCGTCCACTCCAGCGGGTTGCTCTCCAGAATGAGTCTCTCCTCCTCCTCCTGCTTTGTGTCCTGGCGGGAGAAGGGAGGCAGGGGGTCACCTGAACACCCCCGGGGCGGCAGGACACTGGGTACACCCTGCGGACCTGAGCCAGACTTTCCTCCTCCCTCTGGCCTCTCCCCAGGCACCGGACAGACCATAGGGACGTTCACAGCAGCTCATCTGGGTTACGATTTTGCCTCCAATGACTCGTGTGCCTTTAGAGGTTAAAAGAAAAGGCGCCGTGAGGGCAGCTGCTAGAAACCAAGTTCAGGAAGTCTCGGGCCTGCACCGGGAGGAGCATCTCCGACTGGAGAGAGGAGGGTACAAGGTGCCTGAGAACGTGCAGGAGTCAGCCAGCCCTTCTGCAGTTATGCTGGTGACGATGGTGCCTGTGACCCCCAAGCTGACCGCAGACAGCCTGCAGGCTTGGGGGAGACTGGATATGCTGACTGAGTCATAGCATCACAGAGGTCTCCTGTGAAGGGGAAGCCTCGTGGCCACGGGACCCTGAGGGCCTAGTCTGTCTGTTCCCCTGACAAGGATCCTCTGCAGCTGGAAAACCTTCTGGAGAAACAGGTGCCATGACCTCCCTCGGAACTCCGTCCAGGGTGGGCGATCCCCAGCCCTTCTCCCCAGGCTCGGGAACCAGGCTGGAGCTGCCGCGACTGCTGGTTTAAACACGGAGCCCCCAGGCAAGGCCTTCCTTCTTTGACACCCTGCGTGCAGCCCCGGCCCCCCAGAGCCCAGCTTGGGGCCCGCGGCCATTACCTCAGCCGGGTCCTGGACGGTGGCCGCACCCTGCTCTGCCCCCTCGGTACAGGAGGCAGCCTGCGCCCTCCGGGCCCTTCGAGGCCTTTCCACGGGTGGCCGGCGCTCGGGCTCCGAGCTGCTCCTCAGGGTGACAGCCCTCCGGGGCCGCGTGGAGGGGACCTCGGCTGAAGAGGTATCTGTCTGGTCATCACGGAGCTCGGAGCTGGTCTCCTCGCTGCCAGTGTCCTCATCCACGGCATCCCCATCCTCTTCCTCGCTCTCCTGGGGAGAAGGGACAGCACTGACTCCGGGGAGGCCTCCTCCCGCCGAGCTGGCCCCATGCAAACCCTCTGGGGGGTGCGGCAAGGCCCATCCAGCCATCCCCACCACGTCCCCGTCGCGGCCCTCTCCTGGCCCACATGGCCAAGCAGGCGGGGTCTGCTTTCAGTGGCTGAAGCGCCGGGCTCGGTACCCAGAGTCTGCAAGCACTTGGCATCGCACGTGGGCCACAGCCCCGGCCAAGAGCCACCGTGCCTCCCGGGCACGTGCAGGAAGGTGCCCTGAGCAGGACGTACCTCCCCTGAGCCTGCGGCCAAGTCCACGGCAGAAGACCTCCGCTTCTTCTGCACAAACATGGATTTTCGCCGTTTCCTGCGTCTGGCGGGCTTCGGGTGTCCGCTCTCGGTGCTGGCTTCCCCTATCGGGGGCTTCACAATCTTCTTTCTCTTTCCATAGTAATAGGCTGCGAGGAGAGAGGGGATCAAAAATGTCTTCTAACGATCGCACACACGTAGGACGTGGACACAGAGAAACCAGAGGAAGATCAGGCAGGAGAGAAGAGGAGAAGAGAAAAAGAGAGAAAGACCATTCTTTCATTCCGAACGTTTCTCCCGTTCCTCGTGGTTAGAAAGTGTTAGGGGCAGACCTGTGTGTCTTCAAAATCCACACGTTAAAGCTCTTACCCGCACGGCACTGTATGTGCAGACAAGGCCTGTAAGGAGGTGATGAAGGTCTTCAAAGTGTAGGGCCTTCATCCCACAGGACCAGTGTGCTTATGGGAAGCAGAACAGAGGGAGGAAGGGGAAGTGCACAGAGGGGGAAGTTGTGAGGACAGCAGCCAAAAAGAGAGGCCTTTGGAGGAACCAGCCCTGCCAGCACCTCGATACAGGTCTCTAGTCACATGCACAGCACCCATCAGAGTCAGTTAGCAATTTCCAGTAACGACCGCTGCATTTTATAAATTAAAGGTATACTCAACTAATTGAAACCACTACTAAGGACCCAATTCTCAGTTATGATCCCAATCGAGACCCATCGCCCAAAGTCTCGGCTGTCCCACAACATAACCCCTACTGTTCCATCTAAAACCACATGCAGAAAGGCAACCTTCATCTACGGTTGGAAGGAGCTAAGAAAACACCCAAACACACAGCCCCGAGGCTTCAGTGGAGCACGCGCTCTGTGGCGGAGCGTGGCTGCCATGGGTGCCCGCGCCCCTGCACTCCCCGGGAACGCCTCCCGGCCCCGGCGTTCTGTTGCCTCACATGCAGAATGAGACCAGTATGACCCACGGAGCAAGACAATCAAGGCTTCACGGTTGTCCCCACGGACCAGTCACGAATGAATAAGCACCTGTTCACACCCAAGAGCCCCATGTGGGCAAGACCTGTCTGGTCTTCTAGAACCCAGGGCAGTCAAGATGGTGGAGGAGCAGGGGACCCTGAGCTCGCCTTGTCCTTCCAGCACAGCTAGAATAAATATCAAATCATCCGGAACAGCCAAGAAACTGATCTGAGGGCTGAGAAAACACAGCACACGCCTACCAGTGGTTTTCTAGAAGCCGGATGCTGGAAATCGGAGTCTGACCGAATACAACAAAGGGGCAACACACTTTCAGAGTCCTGGGCTTACAATGGGGGGACTGCTGGCCTCAGTGCTCCCAGTCCTTCCCCATGGTGGTTCTGTCGTCCCCCCGGAGCATCCGTTCAATCTGCAGCAGTATTTACGCTGACCTAGGGGTCTCAGGATTTTGATGTTTCATCACATAATACCCAGAAAAATCTCCAAGTCATTTCGTTCATATTTAATTCGAGCTGGGGTAACCCCACTTCTTCCCGTCTGTTACTGAACAGCGTACTCCGGGAGGGGGGTGGTCTCTCCTCTGGCCAAACGTAATGTGAGGGGAAACAAGTTCTCCACAGAGGGCGGTGATGTCCCCGCGTCCTACCAACACACCGCTGGCTCTCCGTGCGTGAGCACGGGTGCAGAATGCCCAGTGGCCCAACCTCACAGACAAGGGTGCTGACTCTTGGCAGGAATGGGGCGGAAAGGAGTTCTTAGGATATCCACGCATCCATACAGAGAAAACTGCAAGGAGATTCACATTCCAAATGGTGGTTCAGATTCCTGGTTCTGACACACAAACTGATCTGTCTCAGCTGGCTGGGGTTCCCAGCACGTGGACCGCACTCCCGTGTCCCGTTCATGTGCCGGTGGCTGGAATGCAGGCTGGGAGAGCAAATCCCCAGGCCACCAAGCCTGCAGACAAAGGCCAGAGCTGAGGAAGGATGGGACCTGGGAGAGGCCACTAAAGGCGGCAGAGGAACCACACGCGTGTGGTGGACAGTGTGAAAATCCTGCCAGGAAGTGGTCAGAGCAAAGGTGGAGGGAGTGGGGGGCAACCCTGAGTCCCGGGAACAGTGCGGGCCGCTTTTGTACCTCCAGCAGCCTCATCCAGGAGCTCAGAGAAGGAGATACAGACGGGAGCGGGTGGGGGGTGCAGGCTGTGACAAGGAGCTCACCCCCGTCCGGAGGGGCAAAGGCAGGGTCTGTAGTTCCTCAGCCTGAGGACCATGAAAGCGATGCTGGTTACCAGCGGCAACGAAGAACCAGCTTCACCCACTCTCTCTCAGCCGGGTAAGTTTCCAAACTCAGCCAGTGCCCAAAATTCACAGCCCACCCTTCCATCGCTTCTTTGCCATCCTGTCCCTCCATGGGGCTAGGACACGTATCGGCCACAGCAAATTTTAAAGAATTCTTTTATAGCAATCCCATGAAAAGTTATTCAAAGGTTTGTTTTGTTTTTTTTTAAATCCACCAACTACCTCTAACCCCCAGCCCAATCTCCTTTCCATGCTTTGTACTTACTGTACTTGGTTTTGGTGTGAATGGAGCAGTTCTCCGGGCAGTTCTCCGAAACCAGCACGGGACTAAACAGATTTGGGCAGCATTCCAGCTTGGCACAAACCCGCCGGCAGAAATCTGCTACCTGGTCAGACGTCCGCACGATCTTGGCCACGGCGCGGTACGTTTTGCCTCTGTACCTAGAAATGAGGAAGAGTGACAAGACCACACAGTTACTCACACCTGCTGGGCACACGGCATGTTCTGAAAGTAGCCCCTTTATTTTCCAACCCTAAGGTAGGCTGTGTGTGATTCCCCTGTCGTTTGCTTTTATCGTTCCTTTGGAGCTTGGAGTAGTGTGTTTAGGAAAGCACCACGTGCACCACGACCGCGACGAACCACTGCCACAGAGCTCCGCGTGGCATGGCTCACTGTGGTGTCTGCGGTTCAACACCCACTCCAGAACCCTTCGGAAATCCAGATGTTGTCACCTGCTGCTCATCACGTTTGAGGGAAAAAAACCAAAAGACAAAAACAAAACACTGTCTCCTGCTAAGAAAAACCACCCGCAGTGAAGTCACCAGCATCAATGGAGACCAGCTCTTCGGGAAAGCAGGCAGAATGAACACTGGGTTCAAAATGGGCACGGAGTCCCTGGGCCAAGTACTTACAGGGATAACCACGTAAACAGTGCTTGGCTGGAAAGGGGAGTACTTGATGTAGGTTCGAGCCACCTGTCAACACATTTTTAAGTTATCACTGGTACAAAACACTCACACACGTCTCTGTTAGACCAGTGCTTATTTAACTGACACGTCACGGAACCCAGAGTCCACCGCCACAAAGAATGCATTAAAACCACGGGGCCTGTTCAACTATGCCCCAGAGGTACACCCTGATTTTCAAGTTGAAATCTCTTTTAAAGGTATTATTTTATTATTTGAGAGAGAGAGAGGTAGAGAACAAGAGGTGGGAGGGCAGAGGGACAGGGAGAAGCTGACTCCCTCCCAACGTGGGGCTCCACCCCAGGGCCCTGAGATCATGACCTGAGCCAAAGGCAGACACTCAACCAAATGAGCCACGCAGGGGCCCTCAAGTTGAAATCCTGAACAACAATGTATATTCCAGGAAGATAGTGGGACCTTTGGTAGGTAACACTCGGGTTAGTTTTTGGAAAACTAACTACAATCCAGAGGCGTGAACTGCCAAGTAAGCCAACACTGCCATCCCGCTTGTCCACGTCTGTGGGGTGATGGGCGTGAGCTCTCTGCCAAACCTGCTTTGCACACTTGTGTTGCAGGTTTCCAAGAGCCTGCCGCAAAGCAACAGGGACACCAGGTAATTCGTGCAAACAGCGTTAACGTAAGGAGAGCATCTCTTTGGTAATTTGCAAGTGAAGTATTACGTTCAAACCTAGATCTGGTTCCCTAAGAGTAAGGCGGTGATAAAAATAAATAGGATAAACTAAAAAATAAAAAATAAAAAATAAAAAATAAAAAAAAAATAGAATAAACTGATCCTGAGTTGCGTTCAAGTAGGCTTTCTCTGTATGCCTCTTAAGACCAGAAAAAAAATACTCCTTTCCCTAACAGCTCGTTTTTTTTTTTGTTTTGTTTTGTTTTTTTTTACAGTATCAACAGCAAAGAAATTAAATTCTAACTTGAAAAAACTGGACTTCGTGTTCATTCTCTGGTCTCTCTGATCCCAGCCCCTCTGCACTCTTCTTGCATTTAAATGCCTAGCTTCGCTTTCTGTGTAGTGAGAACTAAAAAGCAGTTCTTTATAGATAAGATCGTGCTTTAAATCGCATCGCTCTTGAACAACTGTTGATTTTTCTAGGACCTCTCCTGACCCTAGATGTAGGCACACACCCCGCGCTCTGCGGAGGACTCCGTGGTTCACGTCCGGCTGGCTCGTGCTCCGTGCTTTTGATATGCTTCACGATAAAACCAGCACAGGTCCGCGGACACGGAGTATCCCTCCTGCTCTGGGGAATGCAGACTAAAAATCCATTACTGGTACAACTTCCCTTACAGTTGTTCCCACTACGGTTTTGTAGCTCTAGGGCTCCCTCCCTTCTAAAGAGCTCTGTATCAAAATTCTTCAAGTTCCTTAAAAAATTAAATGATATCAAGTTAAAAAAAAAAAAGGCAAGAGAAATGTGAAAATCGGATCCAATTTCAACCTGTGGAAGTCGGGCCCGAAGACAGGTGTCCGAGACCTCCATATTCCAAAGCTTCCAGAAATACATTAGAAGGACGTGAAGAGGGCAAGAGCAAATGCCCCATGGGAGAGAGAGAAGGCTCAGCTTTTTCTTCCCTTCTAGTTTGGGACGACTCCGTGGAAGCAAGCGTTTTAGTAAACCTTTCTCATTTAGGAAACGCCAATCCAAGTTTATGAAAATAGGATCCTGGTATGGTTTAAAAGTAACAGAATCCCCTCTCCTTGCCTGCCCTTCTGGAACAAACCCATCAAATAGCCATGGTGGTGGAGGAGGAGGGCAGGGAGACTGGGCAGGGAAGGTGTGCAGGCAGGAGAGGCTGGGTGGGACCCACGGTGTCCTGGCCCCGGGGTGGGTGGATGCGGGAAACACTGGTGGGGCTGCCAGGACCTCCCATTCCCACTGCTGGCGCAGACGCAGGCCCTAGAGGCTCTGTCCAGCTCCAAGAGCTCGCCCTCCCCCCTCCTGTGGGCAGCCCCCATGCCGTGAGTCATTGTGATGGAGCAAAAGGGCCTGGCCACTTGGGCCCGCCTCGGGACGACCATGGAGGGCCATTCCAATGCCAGAGGAGCCCGTGGGCTATGGTCCATCTCCCCCTCTCCCACGGGTGTTGTTCCAAGGGCCCTCCTTAATTAAGAGGATCCAGACGCGTGGCAGGTGAGGATGGAGGCAGGATGACAGCATCTCCGTCCTGCTCAGAACACAGAGGATGTCTGCCCCTGTGGACAGCCCGGCACGGGTCAGGTGCGATGGCCCGGATAGGGGTGAAGGGACAAAGGGACAGGAAACAGGTTCCAGAGCGGGGCCTGACCAAACACAACAGAGTAGAGACAGGCCAACCAGGTGTCCCCTTGTGTTGGGGGGTGGGTGCAAATACAGGAGAGGAAAAGGCCAGAGGGGACCCCCCCACGGTGTTAGGCTGGTCGAAGAGGGGGAATCGGAGCTCGAATTCGGTCACAAGCGAGCAAGAAAGGCCAGGCTCGCAGGCCTGTCGCTGCAGTCTCTAGAGAAGCTAGTCGCTATGGCTGGTGTCTGGGAACCGCATTTTGGAGGTCATCCAGGCGCTAAACTGCGCCCGGCCTGGGCAAACCATGTGTTTTGTGCTGAAAACGGGACCTGCTTGCTTGGCTGGTCCACACCAGGCAGCGTGTTGCCCGTGGGACCAGCTCCCAAGAAGAGCCTCGGCCTGGGCTTCTCTGGATGGAATCGTCCCGTGACAGTCACTTCCGCTGCTGGGGAAGCAGAGCAAGCAGAGGGACGCCTGACACGGAGATCCTTCCAGACCCCACCTGCCTCTTTCTTCCTCACGACCTCGCTGCGTGTCCTTACTACGTCACCGGGATCAGTCTCAGCCCAGAGTGAAATCATAGCACTCAGTCCCCACAGCCCTTGTAGGAAAATTCAGACCATGGAGGAGGTCATGAGGCCTCCCGACCCAACAGACACAGAAGTAAATATAAATGTCAATTTCTTTTTGTACATGTGTATGTCTAGACACTCACATATGTACGTCTACACACACACACACACACACACACACACACACACAAATGTCACTGCTCTGTCCAACGAGAAAGCCCAAGAGACACAACACCTCAACAGCGGTGCACTTACGTGTCCAAACTTGGCTGCTAAATATCGTTTTTCACCTCCTCCCACCAAAAACAAACAAACAACAACAACAACAACAAAAACAAACAAACAAAAAACAACCAAGTCTCCTCAGACAGGTCGCTAAGTCCAGGACTAGGCAGAGAAAGAACAAGATGATCCGGGAACAGTTCACTGGGTCAGAAAATAACCAAGTATCAAACACTGATGAGAAAGGTCAAGGCGATAAACACAAAGCCCGCTGGCGGAGCGTGGGGGCGCCTGGGTGGCTCTGGGTGGCTCTGTCCGTTAGCTTCTGGGCATGATATCGGGTCCCAGGATAGAATCCTGCATCTGGCTCCCTTCTCATCGGGGAGTCTGCTTCTCCCTCTCCCTCTCCCCCTGCTCGTTCTCTCTCTTCCCTCTCTCAAAAAAATAAATAAAATCTTTAAAAAAAAAAAAAAAAGCCTGCTGGGTATGGTCCCCACTGGCCAAATCTGGGCCAACCCGAGCATCAGAGTAAGCTGATGACGTCACCCCACTAAGCGAAAGAGGAGCCCCTGAACTCACACAGACACAAACAAGGCTCTGAAAAGGCTGAAAGCCTGACAAAGAGGGATATTTACATAGTACGGAGCATCCCCCCACCAGCTGCCTCTGCCCCACAGCAGCATAGCAGACGTCCCTTAATTAGGTGATCAAAGTAAACACCCCCAGGGAGGGGGTGCACAGAGATGGGCGTCAGCCAGCAGGGTGCTGTGAGCAGAACATCCTTACTCCTGTGATACTCCCCATACACCCCCTGAACCCCGTCGTGCAGAAACATGAAAAAAACTCCCGAAGAAGCAGCGTTCTGCAACGTGTCCCCACCGTCCACAAATATCAAGGTCATGAAGGTCAGGAAAAAGTCCGAGCAACTGTTGGGGAGCAAGGGGACCCTAAGAGACAGGGCAGCCCAGTGCCCCGGTTTTGCCCGAGGGACAACACTAGGACAGCGGAGACACGAGTGCGGTGTGAGGACCACCTGTGTGCACCACCATTCTGATTCTGATTATGTGGGAGAGCGTCCTTGCTGGTAGCAAATGGTTACGGACTGGGGGGCGATGGGTCATCATGCCAACAACTCACTCTGAAATCCAGCAGGAAAAAGAATGTAATCGTAATAAATTGTTTATATAATTTAAACGTCATTTTTCTAGAAGTTTGAGATTGTTTCCAGATAAACACATAGAGAAGAAATAATAAAAATGTTAGGTGTATATTGACTCAAACTACTTTCAGCTTAGTGTATACCACGACTTCCATCTGTTTTCGAGTGCTGCGGGTCAGCACGGGCATTCGCTTTCGGATTTTCATGCAGTGCGGGAAAGACACATTGGACCTTACAGC